ACTGGCATGCCGCCTCGCCAGCGGCCGCGCGCGGGCAGTGCGAGCGCGCCGCGTGGCTGAACACCTCCGTCGCGTTGCCGAACGATCTGATACAATATTGAAAAAGTTACAAAAAACATCATAAAACGATCTCATCTTTACTGTAAACAACTTCGACCGTGATTTAAAAACTTAGAGGTCTAAATGTTCTTTCAATATAATACTTTCGCCTGCGACTCCGCGTGGAATAAAAAATACAAGTGTTCTTCCTGACTATCCTCTACATCTTTGCCAAATGACATCGAGATATGTTCAGTATGTATAACAAACATCTATCCACCCATCCATCCAAACATTCGCATTTATATATTGGAGTTAAAATTCGATGAAAATTGCTTGCAATTGATTAGCCACCTGATCTTTAAGTCTTTCTTTTTCTCTCTCTTTCTATCGTGGGTCAACTCCATATAACATCTTGGCGTTTATTTATACTAATGCAGGTAATAATAATCTATACATTATTATTTTTTTATCTTATAAGGTGGCAAACGAGCAAGTGGCCACCTGAATCCGCCGAAATGGCTAAGCAACCGCTGCCCTTAGACATCTAATAGTATAACTATTAATATATCAAATTAACAATTTAATGCACGACTTACTTGCCGCATCCCCTCCAGTGACATATCCAGGGTGTGTCATCAGCGGACAGTGACGTGGATGCCACAGGCGGTGGTGTCACTGTCGGTTTCGGAGTCGGTGGCTTCTGTCATAAAAATACATAGATTAAAAAACCTTATTTTTTTAATTAATCACTGTTTTGTAAATAATTTTTATATAAATATTATTTCAATAAATAAATCTAAATATTCCCTTTTTATAATATTAGTAAAGGTATTACTTACCTCTACAGTTTGAGTGACGACCTCTTTGTCGCCTATTTTTGTATTCCCCACCATTATTGGTTGCCGAGTGATGACTTGCCGCATCACCGGCTGTTGTGGTTTCTGGAAATACATTTTATCTACTAATATTAATCTGCAGGTATTTCAAAAAACAACTTTTAAAAAACCGCACTTTCTAGTTGACAAAAAATCGATACAAAATCGCACTTTCGTAATCTTACTACGTAAATGGATGGGTGTTTGTAAGTTTGTAGCCTAAACTGCAGAAGGGATCTAGATGAAATTTGGATATATACACATATATACACATTTTTCAATTCCACGCGGATGGAGTCGCGAGCGAAAGCTAGTAACGGATAAATTCTTACCGGACTGCTTTGTATCACAGTTGTTTTGGCCTCACTCTGCGCCACCACAGGCTGCGTCACAGTATTTACCACTTGACTTCTCTGCGGCTGCATTACTCTATGCACACCGGGTTTCAAAGGTGCGTTCATTATAATCTGCTGATTGTTTGACACGGCAATAATTTGTTGATTGCCTTGTATAATTTGTTGACCTCCTTGTATCATTTGTTGACCTCCTTGTATAATTTGTTGACCGCTTTGTATAATTTGTTGACCGCCTTGTATAATTTGGTTGCTTGTTGACGTACTGATTAATGCTGGAGCCTGTTTCGATACAACGATTTGTTGGGTTTGTGGTGTGACCATTTGTGCTTTGTGTGGTTGGGGCTGAGAAGTTATTATTGGTTGTTGGCTCGCAGTTATTTGTGGTGTATTCTGTGAATGTTACATAAATATTATTATTAGAACTAATTAAATATACTAAAGTTTTAGTAGCGGCTTTGTAAAAATATAAAATCCGTATTAAAGAGTTATCGTTTACATAAAAATAATTACAAAATATTGCAAATAATAAAAAGAATAAAAAAAAATAAAGCTATATTAACGTGCAACGTTAAAAACAATATAAAAGCTTTTTCACTTCACCCTTAAAGACAGGCAGAGATAAATTTCCGTTACTATTACGTTGTTTTTTCTATCGCTGCCGTATAGACACGATGGTATCGAGGATTCTTACTATTAGAGACAATCCTTTTAAGAAAATTAAATCCTTCCAACCTTTTCCCATAATATCATGCAACCTTAAATACCCAGTTTCAATCACCTTCAAACGCATTACCCAAAATGCCATAAACAACATGAAATGAAATAAAGACAACCTTCCCACTAAACTCCAAGTTATACGATCTAATTTGTCCTAAGATAAACTTCTATGACTACAAGCAATTTCTCATTATATTTATAAATGTATGTAGTATCAATACCTAAAAGGTTTGTTGTATTAGCGATATCATATTTTCAATACGAATTAAAAAAAAATCACAATATTTCTAATTGCGTCAACATGTAATATAATTAAAAATAAAACATGCGAAACGTAAATCTACTAAAGCAGTATCTATATAACTACTTTTAAATTATTTTTAACCTGTGCTAAGGCAGTTTTGACCATAGTGATGGGCTGTGATGTGCTCACCAGTGTCGGTTGACTCACAATCACCCTCTGAGCCGATTGTATAACTCCCGTGTTCTGCGCAGAACACATTTATATGCATTATGAATAAAAAAATATTTAAGAAATTATATATTACTTTGTAGTAATATTGTAGTTTTTGGAATACAAAGTGAATAATTCGTAAACAAAGTCTACAATGTATTTGTATTTTAAATAGTTTGTATATTATATACAATGTAGTATACTTCATACCGCATTGTATACTTTGTAAAAGTTCACTATACTACACTATATTTGAATTTTAAACAGTATAATTATAATAATTAATAAAGTAAAAACATATAATTACTCTCCACATGAATATTTCGTATCAACATTTCAATCCAATTTTAATTCCTAAGACATTTTTAATATTTTACCCGTGACATGTTTCACAGCTTTAGGATTATATAAAAATAGTATAGAATATAAACATGATAGCAGATGAAATATGCTGTGGACGTAGTTTTTAATTTGTACAATCTTTATATCAACAATTAAAAAAAATCTCAGACACGAAGTTCCTGTGGGTATAGAATATTTTTTTTAACTTATGAATGAGTATTTAATAGCAGTCTTCTGTTTTAATATTAATGATATCCTTTCTCATTAGTGTTATTATAAATCTATAGGTTATTTGTAAAAAAAAATCAAATGAGCACGCTACTATTGAAAAGCATCTACATTTTTTTTATAATCATGAAAAATTAGTATACTGAAATTAAAAAAATTACAATGTTGAGTATTCTCCCATTTTCTTGATAGAGTTTCATCTTTTTTATTACTTGTGGCTTCTTTAGTTTGTTAATTAAGGTTTTAGCATAACACTAGAAAGCAATTAGAAATGAACGCAATGTGCTTTAAGTATGAAGTGCCGAAATGTTAATGAAGAGGTAAAAGTTAAGCTGAGAGATGATTTGAAGCGCGATTTCTACGAGATATTTAACCTGCATAATTTGCTGTTGGGTTATCGCCTCTGTTGCTTGGGTAATAAGGCTGTTTAGAGTCGCCTCGTCCAGACCCGATGGGTTGTTCACCTTGTTATGTAAATACCTTATTTTAATCTTAATTGAGTACATTTTTAATACATTGGTAACATTTTTAAATATAGCTAGTATATTTGCATATAAAACTTACGGTAAGAGTGAGTGGTCCGCCGCCTGTTGGTCCCTGGACAATTATAATCGTCTTCTGCATCATGTTACCAGGTATATTCTGGGCTATGTAACCCAAACCACCTACAAAATATCCATATTATTACTAATACATTATTAAAAGAAGACAAATACATAGGTGAAACGAATATCACATTTAATATTATAATTGCAAAAGTTCAGATGAATGGATAGATGGATGTTTGTTAGATAGAGATTGTAGCCTAAAAAGCTGAAACGATTTTGATGAAATTTTGTATAGATGTACAGGATAGCCTGGAAGAACACATAGGAAACTCACTTTTTTTTTTAATAACACGCGTACCGAGTCGCGGGCGAAAGCTAATAATCAATAAAATCATTAAAATTCTTGCAACATATCGTGCAAAAATTATTATTAAAGAGACAAGATTTTTTCGAAGGATTCTAAGCACTAGCTGTTGCTCGCGACTTCGCCCGCGTGAAATATACGTTACTCATTGATAACGTAGCTTTTTACTTGTGAAGGAATTTTTAAATAGGCCCAGTAATTATTTCAATACATACATTCACATCATACCTCTTAATAATATTAGTATAGATTTAATTATATTTACCTTGCAGTATAATCTGTCCAGACTGCGACGCTAGAATATTCTGTACATCCATAGGTTGAACTTGCAGCATAGGTTGTTGCATTTGCAGCGTCGGTTGCTGCATCTGTTAAATCAAACACACTCTAGTTGCTATTCTAAAATATGCTTTATTTCCACTCATTTAAGTCCAAATACGCACCTGCATAGTAGAGCTCTGCATCATAGTTGGTTGCTGAACCAAGGTTGGTTGTTGCACTTGCATTGTTGGTTGCTGAACTTGCATACTTGGTTGATGCACCTAAATTTTGATACCAACATTGTATAAGAAATAAACATTTAAAATGCAAATATCGATACGAGATATACGTTCTATTTTAAACAAATCTTATATCTGTATATCAATATCGATTGTATCGATATACAATCTATTTTTTTTTATATCATAAGGTGGCAAACGAGCAAGTAGCCACCTGAATCCAACAAAATGGCGAACTGACCGCTGCCCATAGACAATCCCAATAACGGATAAGTTCCCTACCCTTATAGACGTAGGAGAATATATCCCCTTCCTATGACTCTCCTCCTGATTCAAGTCCACGTTCCCTTCCCATTCTTTTTAAAATAAGACAAAGGCGGGAAGGATAGGGGACTAAAGCTGGGCATTTTTATTGGTAATATATGCTATCATTTTAAGGATCTAGGAGCGACTATAAAACAATTTTTAAAATTAATTAAAGAAAGAGAAATGAGATACATGTGAAAGGGAGAAAATGAGATGAAAGAAGAAGCAGATAAGAGTATGACATTTTAAATCGTTAAACATATGTAATTACTGCAAACCACCAACCTGCAGTAAGGGCTCTTGTATAATAACAGATCCAGTATCAGATGAGCTTGGAACCAGCACCGGAGGCGGTACTTCTGCGGGCTCTTGTTTATTTGGCAGCTATCGACAAATTACATTACCTTTTAGATATACCCTAACATATATAAGTTAAAAATAAATCAACTAAAATTAAAATCAACTACTACTACAAAAGCTTAGTTTTACTTTACTATACTTTAAAGGCAAATAAATGATCTACGAGAAATAAGTATGTGAATCACTGAATACAAACAATAAGGTCTTTTAAAACCTTGCGCAGAGCCCCGGGCAATACCAGTCCAGTTGGCCGCTAGATTAAGACATGAAAGAATGGCAAAAAAATGTTAGACATTTTATATCTTACTAGTTGTTGCTCGCTACTTCACCCCAGTGAAATTAAAAAGTTATAGCCCATATTCTCAGATAAATTATCTTTCTAACGGTGTAAGAATTTTTAAAATCGACCCAGAGGTTTTTGAGTTATTTCAATACATCCAATATACAAATCTTTCCTTTTTATAATATTAGTATAGATAGATTATATATTTAGACCGAAATAATTAACCGACTCGGTGAAAATTATTGAAATTACAATAAATCATTACCGCCCTCTCATCATCATTATCATCAACTTGCCCTTATCCCTACAGAGGGTGGGCACAGTATGTGTTATTTATTTAAATGGCTTAAGGCCTGTCCCACCAAATTATAAATTGTCTGATAACAATCGAACGTGGAAAATATGTGATGGAAATATCAGATTTTGTTCCCTTATCTGACAGTGACGTCATTTTTAAGCTATCTGAACCTCTATCAGCCAGTGGTGGGACAGGTCCTTATTATTTAGGGTTGCATTAGATAATTCTGTTGCTATAGTAACGCTAAACCTAGTATCAAAGAAGAAATTAAAAAGTTTTGCTTACCAGATCTTCTTCGTCTTCTAAAGCAGAGGCGGCCAACGCGGCGTACAAGTTAGCTGCCGTCTTAGATACACTCTCTTGAGGTGTCTGAAATACAAAAAAGTTTTGTATACTAAAACTGCAACGTAATTCTTTTTTTTATAAAAAGCTCTACACTTACAACACGCTTTAGGATATATATTTTCACGCTATTTAAGTTAGAGTAGTCAGTAGATTAGAAAAACTACATCTCACGCGAAAGGGATAAAAACTAACTGCTAATATCAGCAAAAAAGCAAGGTTTCCATGGTAATAATAATTGTTAGCATTATCTAAAATTGCCATTAGGTGAAGGATTTCGTTGTCATACGAATTTTAAATTTCGCAATTTAAAAAAATATATATAAGACATAAAAAATAACATAAACTACTCTTTTGTTACAGTTTACAACCACAATAACTACGTACTTTTTGTTTAAAGTTTTATCACAAAGATACCTATACTAGCAATTTAAAATGAAAATATTAAATTTAAAAAAAAAATCTATTTTCATACCTCTTTTTTCTCTTCGACCTTTAATTTTTTCACAGGCGGCTCGGTATACGAATGATCGGTCACCACCGTGTCCACATCCTTATCGTTTTTAGTTTGAATGACGCTCTGCAACTGACCGTCGTTCTTGATCTGAACGATTTGGCCCTGATCGTTCTTGAACTGTAACATCGGGTTCATCTGATCGTTCTTTAACGGTATTACTTGGCCCTGTTCGTTCTTAATTTGAATTAATTGGCCTTGTTCGTTCTTTACTTGGAAATATTGACTGCTTGATTCCGCGTTTATTTGCAAAACTGGATTCGCTTCAGATTTCACTTGTACTATTTGACCGGTTTCCGTTATTTGTATTGTAGGTGCATTCATTTGAGGATTCATTTGGACAACTTGTACTGGAGGATTTGATTTCTTCTCTAGTAAATCTGCTAGCATTTTATTCTGAGCTGTTTTCTAAAAGAAATATAACACGTAATTTATCTTAAATTAAATTTAAAGTAACTTTGATTCATTAAAATGATACATACTATAGTTAATTGTGTTTGTTCGTCTATTTGAATTTGTACGGGTTCATCTTTCGGTGCTGAAATCGAAAATATATATATTATTAAATATTCTCATCAAATTGAAATATTATCACTATAATAAATTTACCTAAAACTTCTTCAGTTGTAATTACCACCTGGAAAAAGTAAAAATACAATTATCATCCAAAATTTTGATTCTGAGCAGTAAACATGTGGTTCTACATTAGTGTTGCAAGCTATACAAACGTATTTACCTTATCCCCCTGCAGCGCGGGCGTGTTACTGGCAACACCGCCCGGGGTTATTGTTGTGCATTTGATCAAAGCTTCTGGATCTACATCCATTCCCTATTAAAAAAAAAAAAAACTTTTCATATTGTAACTGCTCCAATTATTATAGTTAAATTACCCATTAAAGAAAATTATAGAAGGTTTTCCTAGATTTTTGTATAACTTACAGTTTTTTTTTTATTATTTATATTTTTACCTGGAAAAATCTTACTTAATATTATAAATGCGAAAGTTTTGATGAATGTTTCCTAGAGTTTGTAGCCTAAACTGTTGAACGGATTTCAATGATATTTGGCTTAGATATAGAGTATGTTCTGGAAGAAAAGATAGGCTACTTATTTTTTTTTAAATCCACGGAGATTGTCAGTCGAAAGCTAATATACGTTTATTTATATGGTAAATCTTACCGACACACTGGGTACAGCTACTGCATTCGATGTTGAAGGTGTTACCACTCTTTGTTGACTTTGTTGTCTTTGTGCTACCTGTACATATGTATAAGTTTTTTTATATTTAAAAATATATATTTTGATACTAAACCAAACCCAATCGTTTCTTAATAATTTTTCCATTTGAAGATATTTTAAATAATTTTTTAAGCAGATTTGCTTGAATTTGAACTGTTCAACAGTTTAGGAGGTGATCAAATCATTTTGGTAATCTAATTTTATTTATCTTAAATTATAATAAATCTTAAATTATCTTAGATTATTTATTGGGTTCGGTCTTCATTGATATATCGAGAAAACGACAACAAAACTTTTGCAAAGTAGGAAAGTAATATTATTTCTTCAATGTAAAATAGTTTGAATTAAATGTGTCATATTTTCATGCAACATTCTTTCTAGAAACTACTCATATACAATTTTCAATTGCATTTTTATGTGAAATATTTTATTAAATAATACTCTAAGAAACACGCCATGCTAACTAAGTCTTTATCAAAACGCATGCGTTTCAATCTAATGTTATTATTTTAATATGTTACTGACTATATATTTTGCATGCCAGCTACATTTTTAATTTTACAATTTCATATTGCATGCATATTTGTTATTTAATTTGAAAATAATCAAAATATTACCAATTTCCGCTAGACATTTTCTATAATCGATATCTGACGCTAAAATTAAATTCATTATTTATATTGAAAAAAAAAACAATGAACGAATACGGATAATATGACTTGCAATATTCATTTTTTTTATTTACTCATTCTAAATGAAACTTTTTTTTTTGGAAATACATACCTATTATTATAACAATAAACTAGCTTAAGAAGGAAGTTGCCATATAAATCTAATCGATAAAAACTATTTTACCGATTTTTTTTTTTTTTTTACATCTACAATCTATCAACATAAGTAAACCGGGCAGAATAATAAGTAAATTAAACTACCAAAAATAAAAAAAACGACTTTTTATACACTATTTTAAGAAAAACTAACATACTGTATACATTAAACATCTATAGATAAAGTCATAGGCGTCGCCATGATCTAGATTCTAAGGGGACCTATAATATGGTTTTATTAGCAATACTTTTAAATCTATTTATCATCATTTACAATTACATTTTTTACAAAACCATACTACACAGGTACATAAATTCATAAGTAACCACAAAAAACCCTGCACACTATAAACTCCATTTTAAAATATTTTATAGGTTAAGTGATCCCCCCTAGTTCTAGCGACGTCTATAAACGATATAGCAGTTAGTATTGTTAGTGGGCGTTACTTACTTGCTTGTGCGGGGCGGGGCTTACTTTGTGCGCGAGCAGGTGCTTGATGAGTGTGGTGTTGGAGGGCGAGTCCAGCGCCTGCGACAGGTGCGGGTGTGTCGGCGCGGCACTCACGGCCTGCACATACACAACACTTAACTAGCACACCTAAGGGAAACCCTTAGTGGAAGTGACACTTTTATATAAGTAAAGGGGCCGCCACTGCGCAAATATTGCAGTAGCTTAATTTTAGAATATAAAATGTACTATTTGGGCAAAAAGTATTAAATAATGGTGTACCTGAGCTTGTACAACAACTGGCTTGACTTCGACAGTTCCTGGCTTGTTGGTCAGCTGAGCTTTCAATATAGGCGATGATGGTCCTGAAAATGTATCGTTTTGTATTAATGTTTTAAAACATTTTAAATGTTTTACGAAGTTATCTATTGCAAAATCTGATCGGCATTTCTTGACATGGGCGTAAGAAATTAAAACAAACCGTATAATACTGATATAAGTTAGATGACTTACCTGCAGGTGGATTGGGTCTATTCTGTGGATTCCTGGCTCGTATCCCGACGTACGCCTGCTGCGTCTCCCCCGACGCTATTGT